TTCTTTACTGTCTTGGATCAACATATTTTTCATAATTTTTGCGTTAGAGATGGAGGAATCGACCAGAAGATTTAAAAAATAGATTTCATGGAAAATTACGATTTTTCCTTTCTTCAACATTGCTTTTTCCTGTTATTTTTGTACCGAGCAACATTATGGCACACCTACAAATATGAACAGACTCTTCCATAAAAAATTCTGCTTTAGGAAAAAGGTGGCGTTTCCGTTCTAGTAATTTTCAGCATACGATGATTTATCTCTCGCCTGTTCACGAATTGGCAATGTTTTTGTCTTAAAAAAGCTATTTTAAAGCCATTCTCGAGAGAAGGGATTTGTCTCTATGTGCCAAAGTAGCCTTTCTCTCAGGGCTCCAACCTCTCAAAGCTGAAGAGGAAAATCACTAATTTTCCATTTTGGCATTCTTTTAATAAAGAACTACAGTCATAAATAAACAAAATTGATTCGTCAAAAGACAAATCAAGTCTAAACAAACGTTATAGTACTTAATTATGATTTTGTAAAATAATAAGTGTGAAGTAGTTATTTATTTTTTTAAATAATATATTTGTTTTTTTAAAGACATAGAACTTCTGTCGTCATGTCATTCAGTGTAAATTGGCGCCAACGAATTCGAAATAAGCTAAAACCACACTGAAAACGACCCTACAGCCAAGTACGTAACTAGATTGCTAATCTAATAAATCTAATCCTCATGGGATTAACGGAATTTCCGAGGATTCAGAGAAGGAAACATACATGTCAACATTTTACAAAAGCAATATATGCATCATCATCAAACTACATTAGATACATTTAATATCTTCCACCGACGCCTACAATTTACACATGAAATCGAAAACAACAAAAAAATACCATTTTTAGATACACTCGTAATAAAACAACCAGATGGCACATTAATCACAGATTGGTATCAGAAACCAAGAAACACAGAACTCTACTGGTTATTCAGATATCGTGAGATGCAGTCGGGTGTGATGTAGTTTTCAGAAAAACATTTTCTTTATCGTGCCAACGTTTCGATCTTTTATTGAGATCATCTTCAGGGCCTGGGATTTACAAACAATGTTTACATTTAACAAATACATTTAGGATGTGGAACACCAGGCCCTGAAATTGATCTCAATAAAAGATCGAAACGTTGGCACGATAAAGAAAATGTTTTTCTCAAACCTACATCACACCCGACCGCATCTCACGATATCTGAATAATTATCGATTAACGGTCACTAATCTCTACACACAACAGATCTCTACCTCAACTTTACATCTCACCATCCCCTTCATACAATAATAAACACGGCCAAAGGGTTACTTCATAGAATGATTACCTTAAGCCATGAATCTTTCCAACACAAAAACATAAAGATATACAAACAAATCCTCCATAACAATCTCTACCCTAAACACATAATCAACAGATCAACTATTACAACTCAACCCTAACACCATCCGCTATTACTAATAATACCACATTAAATCTATCGAACACAAACAAACCAGCATACATTTCCATACCATTTATCCAAGGCCTATCACACAAATTAAACACATTTCTCTTGTCCGATAAGTTCAAAATAGCTTTCTAAAATTATAACACAATTCAAACACTTTTTTCCAAAATTAATTATCCCACACCAATAACAAATAAATCTGACGTAATCTACAAGATCAACTGTTTAAACTGTCCGGCAACTTACATCGGTCTTACATCCCAATATCTGGATAAGAGAGTAGAGCAACATATCTATGATTGCAAAAAACCTAAGCAAAATCCTACAGCACTCGCTACCCACCATCTTGAACACCAACATAATTTCGACTTTAAAAATCCAAAAGTATTACACACAGAACAAAACAAACATAAACGTAATTTCTTAGAAATGGTTTATATCAACAGAGATAAATACAGCATCAATTACTGAACAGACACATGTAAACTCAGTCGCAGCTACGCCAATATCATTAATCAAATTCAATACAGATAATATACATATATCATCACATTACATTCCACACATCAAATATTTTTCACATAGTCTAATTTCCCAACAATTTAGCTTTCCTTTTCCTATTTATCCCTTTCTATATAATCCTGAAAGGATAATCTGGCCGAAACATTTTTTCCCTTCGTAGGCTCTTTTCACCTCAAAGAAGCCGACGCCTTATACAAAAATTTCTTTTCTGTACCGAAATCCTTCCCCACCCCTTCAAAATCCAACGTATATAAACACAAAATAGCAACATCTCACTGGCACTCTCGACACGACAGGCAAGAATGGCGCAATTACACAGAAGAAAACACTTTGAGTGAGTAGAAATACTTTGATTGAATATATAAAAAATATATTTTGCATTGTATAAATTCACTTTTCCACATCCAAAATGTAATTGTTATATGTAAACAATGTTTGTAAATCCCAGGCCCTGAAGATGATCTTAATAAAGATCGAAACGTTGGCACGATAAAGAAAATATTTTTCTGCAACCTACATCACACCAGACCGCATCTCACGATTTCTAAATCAATATAGATCATTTTGAAATTTAAAATAAAAGTGAAATATAATTTTATATATATGGATAATGGTAATTATGTTTTTTATGTTCGTTGATTTTTTGACTTGAAATGATATCCTTCTCATAACCATCGCAGAATGAGGTTTCCTAACACTAATTAACTGCATGTGATAGTTGACAATGTTTCTTGATAAATGGTTCATGGCATATTCGCCTTTCGTCTGATGTATTTCTCCTCTAGTCTATGGCGTACAACCGTTCATCATAAAGACAATGTCTGATTGTTATCTATTGAAAATAAAAGCAATTGATAAGTAAATAAACATCAATAAATATAAAATTAATATCGAATCGAAAGTGTTTTTTTCGATTTGAAAGATTATTGATAAATATAACAGGCACTACATCTATAATAGGTATTATATATACCATAGGCATTTATCTTTAATAGTCATTATATCTGTAATAGGAATTAACCCTCTTTTTCGTCAAACTTGCTTCAGAACATTGTCAACTTTAGCAATTTTCTTTAAGGTTAGCATGAAATCCGTGAGTTTATGGCGGGCGCAGTACAAAAATCCTCCAGATTCCCTTCAAATCGTTTCAAACCCATCCTACTAGAGATGGAAAAAATGGCTCTTTTTATGGATAGGAGCCAAACCGCACCCCCTCAGTGAAATGAATCAATGTTTCATGGCTCACCAAATTTATCTTATCCATAATTCCATGTGTAAACTTTGGCGGGTTTTCGAATTTCGGTGTACGAGTGTTTTATGTTACCAATTAATAAATGTTTTTATTAAAAATATGACATGTACGTTGTTCTTGATTTCGATATACATTTTTCAACCTTCACTAAGAAAAGTTCTAAAAAATGGAAATGGGAGTATATCCCTGAAATGTTTATAAAATAAGGCCACTTTGGTGAAATACACAAACATTTTTATGGAAAAAATCTAGTGGGCTCAAATCAGGGCAGAATGTATCTAATTTTTGTTACCAACTAATAAATGTTTTTATTAGAAATATGGCATGTACGATTTTCTTGTTTTGCTGCTCTCCTTGGGTTCGATTTTACGTTTTTCAACTTTGCAAAGGATGTTTCACTAAGAAAAGTTAGAAAAATTTTAAAAGTAAGTATGTACTTGGAATATTGATAAAATAAGGCGACTCTGGTGAAATCCCAGAAAATTTTGCTGCTAAAACCATTGCACGAGCCACAATTGAGGATTTCCAAAAAAAAACACGGTTTTGCCATTTGTTATTCTTTGAACGGCTACTATGTATTCGGAAGAGCAAATTTTTCAACGAAAATGTTGTTAATTTATGGAATATTTAATGTAGTTTGCGAAATAAAGGTTAGATTTGTACTTTAAAATTACGATTTTATGTAAAAAAAATGTAATTTTAGACTAAAATCATAAAAACGTTAATAACTCAGTAAAGAATCAAGATGGAAACCTCGTTCCTGGTGGCACTGAACTACGTTTTAAGGTTAGTGAATCTACCATTGACGTTAACACACCCTGTATACTCGGCGTGGGAGAAACAGGCTTGTGCTATTACCACAAAGAAGGAGAAAGAGCGGAACATTTCTTCTGTTGGTTCGAAGACAGATTTTCTTCTCCTGGGAGAGGCGAAAGGATGAAGGATAGACACGGGAAGTGTTGAAAAAGCTTTGGGATCTGGTAAAAGCCTTAAGCCAGGTAGTAAATAGGCTCCTACTCTAATCTTAATCTTACCTATTGCCACCTTCCATTTAATTTTGTAATTGCGTCCTCTGAGAACGTTTTTCGCCAGGTTTTTGAGACATGCCTCGATGTGTTTTCTGAAATGCTTAAATAAAATAAAGCTTTTCCTAATAATGGAATTTGTCAGACCCGGGAATAAGTGAAAATATGGAGACAATATCAGACGAATATGATGGGCGGCATATGACAAGACAGCTTCAACATATTCTGGAGCATCTGCAAAGACACGTGGTGGCGAAGGGTATATTGTTAGAAAACAATCACATCACTCGTTTAAATATCGGTCATTTACATTGGCTTTTAGGAGGGAATCGCTGATGGAGAAGCGGTCCAGTATATTATTCTGCCAACATGCGAGGAACCCAAATAACGCTCCGACATCATATCCAGCTCGTCTCACGACTAAATGCTCGTATGATATATATTAATCTCTGTGATTTCTTGTGTCGTTGAGTGTGGGTTATTTATGGCAATAGATTACATTTGGTCATCATCAACGGTTGAAGTACGACCAGCGCCTTGCATCTTCCAAATCAAAATTTACACTTCTGAACTATTTGCGATTAGTAGACAATTTCGGCGATAGTCCAAGTATGTGTCCGGCATGCAGGGGAAGATTGCTTAATGTGTCGCACTTAATTCAAGCGTGATTCCTTGGCTGCTTATTGATAGTGAGTAGGATATCCACCCCGAGGAGCCATACCCCATTAAATGACTACGGTGACTATAGGTGGTGCAGTGTGGCCAAGACTGCAACCTGAAAAGGTGAGCCTTGTGTCCTCGGTCACTTCCTTTTCTCAATCCAGGCTCTTCGGCATAATCCCTCTCCCAACCCTGGGATGCAAGGGGGTATCCAGGCGCAACATAATGGTGTAGCCTTGAGAGCATGTCACCCTCTCTAAAGCACAAGCTGGATTCGTGTCGGCCTCCGGGTCGGCAGCAGACGGCGGGTGCTGCATCAGAGGCACACTAGAGGTACGGTACCAGATCCTGTCTGAGGGGGAGGGTGCATAACCATCTGAACTATGGTGTAGCAGAAAATGTCGAAACCCTGTTATATGGGAATGGACTCGTAGAGGCTTAGTGGCGAGGCTCCTGACGAAAACGTAATGTGATCCTGTTGCTGGGTGGTGCCGTTATCGGTTTCCTTCATAGGGCACCGTTCCTCTAGTGGGTGGTTAAACATTCCACTTTGAACGGATCCGGTAGTTACGGTGGAGGAGCCACAATACTCTGGGAGATATAGTTGCCTTCACTATCTAGGAAGCTCGGCGGGACGATCCAAGCTGATGCATTTCTGCTGAACGAGTCTGTTTAGGTTAAAACTCCGTGCGTGTCGATACCCAGGAGCCTACCCTTCAAATCGACTGGCAACCGGCACATGCAACTACACGAGCAGGCCAGTTTTTTAAAGAAATTTTCCTCCTAGTGGGAAAAGAGCATTGAACTAAGGTGATTATTACCCAGACCACGACTATCAATGGACTCGTAACTAACCTTGGACTATATGGAAAATATCTCACCAAAATAGGGAAAAGAAAATGTCACGCATGCGGTACCGAGGATTATCTTCAACACATTATATTGAGATGTAGAAGATATAGAGAAAAAAGGAGTATTATCATGGGAGGGAAAGGAGATATAAAATGTGAATCTATATTTCTAACAACAAACATATATATGATAAAATTTTCAAATTCATGTGCCGAGCAAAAAAAAAAATATTTATACAGCATTTAAATATAAGTAGTGCAAGTTATATAAATATTGTTAATTAATTACGCTTTCATGAAACAATTATGGTGTTATATATTAATTATACAAAAACATACTAATTTTTTATCCACCTCTACCTGAGATAATAGTTGTAAATGTTGCACGATATATTGCCATAATAATATTCAATCATAAGAGGTATTGCATCCCGGGTGGAATTTATGTTTTAGTAGCCATACAACCTTAAAAATGTTATTACCCAAAGACCAGTCAGTTAATAAGTAATTGGGCTGCGTATTTCGACCGGGTTGAGGTTCCTTTCCAGGAGCGGAAGGAGTCATTTTGACCCCCTGGGGAATCCGTCACCTGCCGGCGTCGTCCTTTAACCGGAGATCGGCCGTCAATAGGGAAGCGTGAAGGATCCTGCCCGAAATTTCGATCCGGACCCGATAATTTTCAATAGGGCAGTTCTTTGATACTATTGATATTCGATGTAAAGCCCTAAGGAACGGAGACGCACGCGCCAACTTCTCTCCTCCCACCAGAGGCTCAGTCATGCCCTAGCTCTGGGCGTGTCGTACACACTATGGTCCGAGTTTCATCATAAACCATGGATACACCGACTACAGGTAAGGTTTGACGCATTGTTTTAGATTTTAACCTTAGATCTGTGATACGTTTAAGCCTCACCAATGGAAACATACATTACATTTTCAACATTTTTACCCGGGATTTTTAAAAAAATTTCGAATTTGTCAATTTTTTTTTGTTTTGTTGTTGTTTGTTTTTCGGTGAGATCCACCACTAGCAGGGCCTGTAGGCCGCCGGTTTTATGCCGTGGAGTGGTGACTGTCATTTCAACCCGACGCCGCCTTGCTGTGTAAACACATTCCTCAGCCGCCCCACTCATTATCTCCCATAAGAATCGGCATTATTTTAGTTTTCCTTCGAAAAAAGTCCATTGCTTTCCACTTCAGAATTTTAAAAAAATCGTTTTCCAAAATCAGGCTTTCAAGCATGAAAGAATAACAAAATCATCGAATGCCGCGTATAAATAAACAACCAATCATGTGGCATTTGAAATTTTTTGAAAAATATACATAACATTCGGAGGGACTTATTTGAAAATTTTTTGTCTAGTAAGCCTCCTTTTGTTGTATTCATACCACGACTAAACCGAATACCATTAGCCGATTTAACCCTAAGCTCCCTCCCTTAAGGAAAATGTTTTCCTCTTGGCAATGTTTTGGGGTCAAATCGAAGAACACGGTTTTCCTTTTGAACATTTACAAACATGAAAAGATTCATAACCGGCGAGTGTTTAACGATGCATGGCGCAGAGAATTAAGTTCATAACACGCTTAGAAACTTTCGACCTGAAATATTTTGGAACAAACTAAAATCCAAAAAAATGAAACTAAAAGAACCATTTTTTTTGTAAATTGATATTCTAATTTTTATATTCACGGGAACAATTTCACTCTTATGTTTATCAAGTTCAGTAACACTTTCGTTTTTATTTATTTTTCCTTTATTCATATAATAAACAACGGTCAATTATTTAATAATTAATCGCAGTGGAAACAATGCAGACCAACCGCTAAAAACTCCGCCTGGCCAGTGTTCGTTTTAATAAATTTTGCTTTCCTTTTCGGTTGATTTAATATATCGGTAAATATACATAATTTATTTGTAATCTAAACATATTAACATGAACAAAGGTGCGTATTTTTTTGTCCTCCCGGAGGAACTTAAGGGAAAATAACGCTGGAACTTAATATGAAGTATGAAAGGGCGAAGAGGTATCGAGGTCATCGTCGTCTAAGGCGACTTTGCGGTCCTCAGGATGGAAAAGGGTAGGTAAGCTTTTGGCAGTATGGCTAGGATGGATCAAGAGCTTGATGGTTAGCTTTTGGAAGCTACATGGAGTCAGCTCGTTGGAAAGTAAGGTTGAGGTCGTTGTGGATAGTGAGGTTAGTTACGTATTAAAACGGTTTCACAATTGGTCTGAGGAGCTTGTAAGAACTCTACATTTTCACTCTATATGTCTAAAGTAGTTGCAGTGCTTTTGACGGTCAAAGCAGTTTTCGGTCCTAAAATTTTTATGCTGTGATTACCATTCACTCTTCTCAGAAACCAATTAACGCTGGCACTAAATATTGGAAGGGATATTTCGAGGCTATATTGTTTAAAGGTATGTGGCAGCTCCTCAGGTGGGGAAGTTTAGATAATACTTTGGCAGTATGATTAGGATGGATGGAAAGCTTGCTGTGGAACTTTTGGAAGCGGGATAGGATCAGCTCATTAACAAAAGGAAAGTTGACATCATAGTAGATAGTGAGATAGGCGACGTTGTTGGTTTTTCACTGGAAGGAGAACTGTTCGAAAGGAATGGATTATCCAGAAATTTTAGCAGCATAATCGATCAGTCCGGTGAACGATCAATATAAAAATAATTTTTATGACTATATAAATAGTCATAAAAATTATATTTAGTTTAGGTGGGGAAGAAGATCCATAAAAATACCCCCCTTTCGGGGTTCGAACCCGCGGTAGTTGTATTAGAAGTCCAACGCTCTATGCCCTGCACCAAAAGTGTTACGATATGCCTAATATTACAATTAATTAAGGTTTTTAGTCAAAATGAAAAAGTCAATGGCACGAGCGGGATTCGAACCCACGATCTTCCGCTAGATACGCCGCTGCTCTACCACTTGAGCTATCGTGACCTAGATATGCCTATTGTTACGTGCTTTTACTATGCTTATTCACCATAAAATTGACTTGGTTGGACCAAGATAAATTTGACTGCGGTTTGATTGAAATTGATCGCTTGGTTTTTACCTTCTTTTGTCAGCTTTTCTCTATTAAGCACAGCGGGACTATGTTGGTAGAGCTGTCGGTTGTCCTCTTCAAACATTTCCTCGGAAAGGTGAAACGATCGTGTTTGTTGGATGTAATCGATGGTAGGATTTTCCACCGGGATTTCTCTCGTTTTGCGCTAACAGCATAGGTTTTATGTTAATGGAGTCATTGATTTTATCATTTTGTTGAGAAAATAGGAGGAAGGCAGAACTAACGGGTTAATCTCTCTTTGAGTCTGGGACAATTTTTCGTCAACCTATGCTTTATATAAATCCTGTCCTTTTTTGTGCGTTATATGAAATTATTTGATACGCGTTGTTTGAGAGGGTGCTATTTTTGTGTTAGATGTTGAAATACGATTTGACGTGTATTTTGACCTGTCCTGAAGTTTTGCCCGCTTTGTAGTATGTTTGTCCCAAGCCTGGAATTTTTTGTGTGTTGTTTACGCCGTTTTTGTAAAATGGGTCTGCGTCGTTGGTGTTTTGCGTCAGCCGTTTACTTAAGTTGTGAGGGGTGTAAGCTCGGTTTTTACCCCCTGCTTTTCTCCTATAACTGGACTTTGATTTTTATTTTTTTTTATTTTTTTACAGAAATTCATATAGTGATTTGGTCCGCTACATGCATTAAATGCGGACTAAATTCTAATTCTATATGGCTGTTCTCATGAAATTCATTTAACTTAATATCTTGACGGGAGCCAGCAACTTTCCTTCTTTTCAAGGGAGGATGCGAATTATAAGATACAACCGTACCTATGAATTGAAGTTTACCAATAATTGGCTGTAAGTGTGACGGTAGTGTGAGGTTGTTGAATTTAGGAATTAGATAGAGTACGGAAAACTTTATTAATGAAGATGAAGACGATCTTAAAGTTTACAGACTGTAAAATGTCGACGTATATAATCCAAGTTTTTCGGCAACTCTAACTTTGTAAAATCTGTGACCCTTAAACGATCCTCATCATCATCTTTATGCTATGGATACCATTCTCTATTTATTGTAAATTATATGTATGTACTTGCTCAATATGAAGGATTAAAGGAACCAGGAGGTCATCTAAGCCGCGTTTCAGGTCCTCAGGATGGAAAAGTGTAGATATAGCATTGGCAGTATGGTTTGGATGGATCGAAAGCTTAATCTGGAACTTGGGGGAGCGTGATCGTGATCGGAGTGGAATAAAGCAATGTTGAGGTAGTTGTGGATAGTAAGTTGGTGACTTAGGAGGATTTGGGTGTGGGAGGAATAAATTCGTTGGATTTTGTATGCTTGTAGGAACCCCAGTTTTCAGGTAGTCACCCCTTGTGATTATGATTATAGTCTGGATGATGACCATCGTAACATAGACTTCTACACAGATGGATCACTTATCAAAGATAGAGGGAGTGGTGCAGGAATTTACATACCAAAATTAGGAATCAGCATCTCCTCCCGTCTTGGCAATAACACCTCCGTTTTTCAGGCGGAAATCTGGGCCATCAACGTGTGTTGTAGAACACTGATGGAAAATAAAATTATGGGAAAAGATATTAAAATCTTTTCTGACAGTCAGGCTAGTCTTAGGGCATTACAAAAAGATTTGTCAACCTCACGACTGGTGGAGGAAACTATAGATCTTATCAATAGGATCTCTTTCAGGTTTGAGAACAAGGTAACCCTTATTTGGATACCTGCACATAAAGGACACCAGGGCAATGCAAAGGCGGTTGGCCTAGCCAAAGAAGGTTCTAATACTGCGTTTGTTGGGCCACAACCGGTATTACCCCACTCTATGAGCACAGCGAAAGAGAGTATCAATAACTGGGGCATGAAACAATTCCTTAGGGAGTGGAATTTATCCCCCGGACACAGGCAATCGAAAGAGTTTGTTAAGGCGATCAAACCAGCTGAATCGAAATGGCTATTCTCTATCTCAAGGAAGAGAATTTGGAGGCTGATAGGTATTCTGACGGTCTACTGCCCACTGAGAAGACACCTCTCCGTAATGGGTATCCTACCACATCCCTTTTGCCGCTTCTGCGAAATAAAAGAAGAAACGGCAAAGCACTACCTCGCAGAATGTGATAGGTAAGCTAGGTCTAGATTTGAAATCTTTGAAGGAGAGGATATCACCAAATCACTCCCCGAGATTAAATGGTCCAAAATCTTGGGGTTTGTGAACAAGTCCAAGAGGTTTATGTAGGACACGTGAGCCGACCAAGTCCCGGACCTTTTAGGGACGGGGTACGAGTCTACCCAGGCATTTAACCCCTCGGGTCTTGGTCGCCCACCCTGCATAATATATATAACCCCAAGGTTACACTGCGACTGTCCACTGTCCAGTGTGGTTGCAGTAAAGTTTAGTTTTGACGTCTATGATTCGCAGTTGTCCAAGATGTTGTATCTTTAAGTCTTGTGTGGACATAACATGCCAGTCTGCTATCTAGCTATAGTCCTATCTGACTTGAGTGGAATAAGTAAGTCTACCTCAGTCCTGGAAAACAATCCCATTTAACCGACGACTTATTCTTAAGTCATTTTATGTTGCGTGTACGTTTTTGGCCATTTGGCATGCCGCAAAAGTGTTCAGGGCCGATAAGTTTCCTCATCGAGCTTTCCTTAGCCAATTTGCCATTTTTATTGTTGTCCCTTTGCCATATATGTTCTGGAACCCAAATAATGTCCTGTCGACGTCTACGTCAAGCCAAATACTTAGGACTATACCTCCTAAGACATCAAATTAAAGTAGAATCCCCACACAAGATAACAACTTATCAGAAGACTAAGA